TTTGGGGACCTAATGTGTTATGATCACAGTTAATGGGGTTTAGAGCCGCACTGGACGGTGTATGGATTCGATGTTAAGTCACAGGAAACAGTTAAGACAGCCAACAATATGGGGTAAGGTTAAAGGGTATGTCAGGCACCGCCTCCCATAGTCAGGGGCATCATGCCTCTGAACCGCAGTAGAGCAGCGGGTGAGAGAGAAGTTCACGATCATTGGTGTGGGATGACGTTGTACTTTTAATGCACCACATTGACCAGCATAGCATAATGTATAGGCGCCGTGATTGGCTAACCAAATTAGTGCCAACACGACGTCACACGATCCAGCCTAAAGGGAATGTGCCCACATTTCGTGCGATCTTCCAGAAGTAATGTGCATATGCTGCTGGCTTTAAATCGCAAGATATCGCGTTTGACGAGCAATTTAATTGTATGGCTGCACGCCGTTTCACGGTGAATGAGAAGCAAGTGAACGAATGGCGAATGAAAAAGCCAGTTGTCCTTTATGCCTGTAGGCAAGAAAGCAGCATGCAGTAGAACAGTCATGTTTCCTGCACTGGATGATAAGTTAGCACAGTGGATTATGGATTAATTGTTACCCGAACGAACATTCGAATCAGGGCGCTCACAATGTTACCAAGTCCGGAATTCCAACCATCATAACCGGTGAATTTTATTGCTTCTTCCGGATTATGCTATCGTTTTAGCAACCGATTCGACGTGTCTTCGGACCCGCACAAAACTAGCCCAGAAACTGCCGCAGGAATTGGACAGTAAACTTGCATCTTTTCAAAGGTTCGTGATTCAGTTGAGAAAGCAATACGACTTGGAACCGTCCTAAATAGGAAATATGGACGAGATGCCCGTTTACTTTGATATTCCTTCAAATCGCACGGTGGAGCAGAAAGGTGCTGACACACTTTGTAAAGACGACGAAACATGCAAAGACACGGTTCACAGTTGTTTTAGTGTGTATGGCGGATGCTTCACGTCTATCACACTTTATTATTTCTAGTGTAAGACGCTGCCGAAAGGAACGAAATTCCCACGCACGTGCTTGTGCGGGCTCACGCGAAAGGATGAATGGACGAGACATTATAGACTGACTGAATACAGTTTGGGGAAAGGGAAGCGGAGCACTTTTAAAGAAACCATCTATGTTGGTTGTGGATTCCTTTAGGGCACCCCGAACTGAGAACGTGGAGAAACAATGCCGTGAACTGAAGTCGTCCGTGACTTTGATTCCCGGTGGACTTACATCATTCCTGCAGTCACTGGATGTCTGTCTCAATAAGCCCTTTAAAGATAGGCTTCGGGCTAGGTGGATTAAATATATGATATCGTCTGTTTTATCGTTGACGAAGAGCGACAATGCGAAAAAGGTTAACATTGTTACCATTACAAAGTGGGTGAAAGAATCGCGGCTGCATATTCCATCAAAAATTATCCTACAATCATTCCAAAATTGCTGCACTGGTAATGCTATGGGCGGAAGTGAGGACTATACCATTTATGAGGAATATCGCAATGACGAGAGCAGTGAAGTTGAAGATGACGATATTCACCCTGACGTCCTAATGACAGACGACCGTTACCAGAAACTGTCTGAAGATTCTGACTCGGATTCCAGTAATTCCAGTTATTTTACCACCATTGGGCAGTTTTTGGATGTCTGAGCTTATAAAATCTACCGGTACGTGCTGTTCTATCAGGTCTTTTTGCAATGTTATTATGCGTGATGGTGTTTGCTACTGCATAATCAATATGTTTCTGATACTGCCATCTGTCGCGAAAGTCAAATGTACACTAAGCTGAGAACTTTTGACACAAACATAATGTTTGTCTGCCTATAGTCACTTCAAATCCCCACCTGCGATACCATCTGTCACTAGCGAATGGTGCTAAGCAAGAAAGGGGCATAGATGTATAGTAAATTTCTGGCTGAATTTTGCATGTGATTTTTCCAAATTGCGCATGACTTATATGAGCCGACACCTCCACTACAGATATGGGAAATTGGCCAAAATTATTCGGCTTGTACACAGTAATCTACGGTACATCCTCGAGGATGGTAACGCGCCTTGTCGTCATGCAGTGAGGACACCCGAAAAACGTGCTCAGTCCCCAGATCTGTGTTATCGAGAATTTGTGGTGCAGTTTATTACTGGAGATATCAAAAAACAGGCAACCACCAAAAGAAAACTTTTTGGTACTTGGAACCGTCTCATCACTTGCGAACGTCTGCAAAAGTTGCTTCATTCAATCCTTATTAGATGCGAAGTTGTTAAGAGTAACAAAGTTGCTCAGTATTTACTATCCAAACTCTGTACCTGGTCCTTTTCTGAACTACTACAACAACTAACAATTAATCGACATTACAAATAGGATACAGCTTTCGGATGGTACCATTCATGGATAAAAATACCAAGTAACGACTTTGACACCACAAATGCAGCAATACTGAGAACTACCGTACAATAAATTTGTATATTCTATTGCTTATACGTAAGTTTCAAGCAATAAATCAGATAGGCATTTCCCACGGTGATGTAGAACTTTTTCACAGCGTTGTATGTCTAAGATCTGCTGAAACGCCGCAAATATTTTATCAGCCGCGATCTGTGATTCCTTAGTAAGATAAGAACAGTCCAATGGCCATCGTTTTGTGATGAAAATATACCCCAATCTCTGCTTCTATACTCTTTGTATGGCATCGCCAGGGGATGCGTGTTGATTGGGATTCTTAGTGGTAACGCGAAGAAGGACCACTACCTGGAAAAATAGCAGCATGTTTACAGTGGTCCTGTACATGTCACGAGTAAATATTAATCCTAGTATATTGTTGCCTCTTGTTACTTTTCGTACTGCTTGTGTCCATCCCAGTAACTGGGTTCGTGGGATGAGTATCATAAGCTTGATTACAGGTATTTTTGACGTTGTTTTTGACTGTAAGTCAGTTTGGAGGCGTATTCAGAAGCAGAATAGGGGGTTCTAAAAAAATGAATACCACAGTACAGCAGGATCCAGACACATCTCACCAGTAAGTTGGTGCTGTTCCCCTTCTCGGAAATTCAGACGGATTCATTGACATTGTTTCCTTTTGTGTCTGATATGGAATGGGTGTATAGTGGTTTACAAGCATGAATTGCGCACTCCCCACATACGGGTACATTGCTGCTACTCACGAAGACTGTGTAACACTCAGCTTAGTGGTATGAGATAAATGGCCAGTGCTATGTTTCAGCAACAAGTATTATATGGGTTGAGAGGGAAATAAGATTACCTACGCTGTGCTTTCTGTTATTCAGAGAGTATGCTTACTAAGAAGGACCACAATATCCTCCCTCAATTGGCAATTTTACAACTTCGTGCAGAATAGGAGGTGCGATTACGCTCGGATTCGTCCAGTTGACCGTGGTGGTGGTAATTGAGGAATACTGAGGAAGATATACATGTGTAGTTGGGATAGGTTGAGGGGACTGGTGGACGATGCGATTGCTTTCTGGTTGAGTTAGAGTGTGAATTAAGGGCGACCAAAGCCAATGCGATTCTTGGCTTAAAAATCCTGCGAGGGGTTTGGTGCCCAAGTTTGTAATTGTGAATTGTGCATGGAACCCTTTGGACTGGTAGTGTTTCGACAGTTTACCTGCGGTTGTGGACAAAGTGGTGTGCACTCTTTTGGTGATCTAAAGGCTATTCCTCTGAGTGGGGAACTGTCATAGAATTAAACATTGAGATTACAGATGCATCTGATAGGTTAAGGGGAACTGGATCAGCACCATTCATAAAGGACGGTTGCAGTTTTCTACATGAAGCTAGGCACCTTTTCATGAATAGGTGACTATTCAGTGTATCAAGAATATTATCTACTTCGAAGGGCAAAGGTATATTCAGAGCCACAACGCTTCCAGGTCGAGCATTAATCGGACATCGATTTGTTTTTGTATTTTAGGTCAGTTCAATACTGTTCAGCAATGTGATAAAGCTAATTGTCCTTTCTTTTGCGACTTCGGACCTAAGCGGTGTCTTTAACTTGGAAATCTTGGATATATTTCTAAAGATGGTTTAGTTTTTAGTTATATAGAACAACAACCTCAACCTCTACTATACGGTCTTAAATGCATCCGTTCTACGTACCAATGTCAAACTCAGGGGCACCGTTTTCGTTAAAATTATTTGTTACCAAAGGTGGTTTTCCAGACCTAGAAGTTGAGTCGACCGGTGAAACATCATTTTAACTCGCATTTCTTTCTCCAGTGGGGTTCGATCTGCTCTAATCAAAAGGCTTGTAAATTCAGTTGTCGATATACTCATTGAGTGTTAGTCAATAAATAAGGGTGCTGCATCGGCTGTGGTGAATTTTAGCATTAAGGGGCGATTACGTTATCTTATCTTTTTACTAAGTCGCATGATTACGCATTCTTCATCACTCATTGAAGCAGCTGACAGAAGTGTGCGATTCACCTCCTCGATTAGTTGCCTAGCATGCATGTTAAAGATTGTAAAATTTCCAGATCGTGTACTCATTTCATGTGCTTCAGTCGACTATAAGATTGTCGGTCTTTTCACGATGTTCAGTATACTGGGTCTTTTCAGGTCCCAAATATTGACAAACGATGCCACTTACCTGAAAATCGATTCGACAATACTCTTTCGACATTTAAGGTCCTTTGGCTAGCATTTTGTTGTACATATCTCAGATACAGCATCTTCCACTTGTATTTCACCTTTTGGTTGTCAATCTCATTCACTTCTCTTCAGCTGTTGGTAATCTCATTCTCGCGTTGAAACGTTTTAGGCCACCCGACACTTGGAATCTGGGACTGTCGTTTGTGTCGGTGGATACAACCTCATTGCCCAACCGCCAGTATTTCTCTAGCATGATATAGTAGCATTTTTACTTGCCGCTGCTACCCGAGACTCCACTTTCGAGATGTCTAAAATATTTCTTGAAACTCTCCTTTTTTTTGTTCAATTTCCTACTATCCCTCCCACCACTAGGTCATTGACGAGGCCGATCGCGTAATCTTGGAGGAGAAACAAGACTGGTACCGACTATTAGAGGATGCACTTTACTACCCAAATGCTTTTCATTTCGACCCGGATACGCACGATGACAATTTTCATTTCGCACTGGTGGGGCGACCCAGACCAATGCTGTCCATAATGCATCAATACGACTGTAGCCACGACATTACGCTTCAAAAGGTAATCTGCTCACGGACACTTACTTCTCCATTGCATGCTTCTATACTCCCCATGCATGTGCTAATGTTCTGCGTACAATCCTTATCTATTCGAGATCATGATAAATGTGGCACACTTTCATAGTTCACTCATGCCCCTCTACCCTTTTGGTAAGAGTGCAGATGTCACTTCTCAAAGCCGCACTTTTTCACTGTACATACTTGGATGTTTGCCGCAGGTGCCCTCTCGCAGATTTCGTCATCACCACGCATCATCAAGCATATCCTGCTTAGCTACAATTTTGAAACCACTCCAGTTTTGATATCATCCTATCACATGCTATAGCGTCTTGAAAGGATTTAAGCTCCTATATGCAAGTGTAGCGCTTCCACGTTTTCCTTCAAGGCAAGAGTGGTGTCGCGCCGGCGTGACAGGTGGCGGGGCTAGGCAAAAGCGTCACGAGCTTTTGCTATACGGTTCGTGATATCCACTTCTATTCCACGGGTGATAATATGACAGCCGAAGTACCTGAATTGCCTTGTAGCTGACCCCTACCAGAGGTCAGCACAGGAGTTGCTTCCTCCTAATATTGCACGAGGACTTTGCATTTCGAGGGTGCAAAGCATACCTCGAAACGCCTGACAGCTAGTGCCAATCTGTCCAGGCTCCCGACTTCTTGGAGTTGTCACTGGCTAGTGCAATGTCGTCGGCATATTCCAACTCAAGAACTCGCTCACCAAGAGGCAGCTCCACAACTTGTTGGCAGTGTCAGCGAACGCTGTTTCCATGACTTCATCAATGGCGAAGTTAAATAGGAAAGGTGGCAACGGGCAACCTTGTCTTACACCGCTTGAGGTATTGAACAGCTGCGACAGTTTCCTATACACCCTCGCTCTACTCGAACAGCGCGCGTGCAGCGCTCCTATGGCCTTTACATATTTATCGGACACATCTTTCCTGAGCAGACAGTTCCAAAGTGCACATTGATCCATCGAATAAATGACTCCTTTGATGTCGAGAAACTCGACTATGGTGATTCGCCAATAAATATGGCGGTGTTTCAACAGTTGGCGATGTGTGAAGATGTGGTCACTGCAGCCTGGATTTTGATGAAACCCGGTTTGCTCCTCGCGTAGCTGGCTTCCACGGGTGCCAATCAGTCTGTGGAGAACGACACGCAAGCAATTTAGAGCCATTGGAGACCAGACTGATTCCTCTATGATTGCCGGTTTCCGAACGTGAGCCTCCTTTAAAAATTGGAACAATGGCGGAGCGGTTCCAGCCTGCTGGGACAGTATCCTGCTCCCTTAGCTTCACAAATACGTTGTGCAGATCATCTACAAGAACAGGTCTCTCGAGTTTCGTTGAAAGTAGAAGTCACGATTAAACTCCACACAATAATCTGCCTCGACGGGGAATCGAACCCCGGTCCCACGAATTTCCGGTCCGCTTCTCTACCACTGAGCTACCGAGAGCTGACGGTTAGGTGCGCAATTTATTACATGACTTCTGCTTGGTGCTGGGTCAAATCTCCTTGACCCTGCGACCTTATTCAATTTCACTAATCTGTTCTCACGTTTGACTTCTGCGCGTGAGGGTGGCTCCAAGGAGAAGGGCCATCAACAGCCGATAGAGAAGCTGGTGGGTTTAACTGATTAAACTATTCTTCCAAGTGCCCTCCTCAACACTCCAAGCGCTTTGATCGTCTGTCCACTCTCGTTGCGTATGGTCTCCTAACTGCAGGTGTCTGCTGCTGCAGCTGTCTCCATCGATGCACGATGAGACCACCGGGCTTCCAGTCTCTCTTCAGACGTGCACCGAGTATCGCCATGAGGTTTTTGTGAGTCTCCTTGTGTTCGCTTCCAGTCAGACTATGTGGGCGAGCATCCAGAAATTCCAGAGCCTGTAGAGACCCAATGTCCAGGTTGGCAACTTGGTTTGCCACATGAAGACATGCCTGCTGCTCATAACCTCTGGGGGATGTGCGATTGGTGATCTTCAACTGTGTTTATTGAGCACTTATTCAACCAGCAAACCAGCGTACTTCGGTGCGCATTCAGAACGTCTGACTTCGCCCGTTGGCAGGTATTTATGCATTAACAGCGTCATTGCGGACATCCGTTGAAAGATAACCGCAGGTCGGCGCGTACGATTGCGTGGTCGTAGTCCGCGCTCGTGCTCCAAGTCGAACGGCATTTTTGAACAAATCCTCTCCAACAGTAACTGATCGCGATGTGATCGATTTGTGTCCATGGCTGGTCCGAGGCTGGTGGGCCCTTTGTCATTCTTCTGCGAGTGCTGTGTCGAAACTTAGCGCTCGCGAGAAAGAGACAAGCGTCTTCACACGTGTAGCCACCGCTCACCGTTCTCATTGCAAGAGCCTACACCGCGTTAGTCACCAAGATGAAGTCCATCAGTGGGCAGGTTTCCAAATTGGGCGTTCAGATCTCCAGTCAGCACCACGGTGTCCGTACTATTCCTGTAACGACGGAACAAGTTCAGTTAGTGATAGAAGTTCTCTTTCACCGCTTCAGCACATTCTCCAAATGCAGAGTCTATCTCCAAGATTGGTAGGGACCCATTCCTGCGCTGATCCTTATTGGGGATCAGTTAGATGTCGTTCAACAATTCGACGGCCTGCGCAGCCGTATCAGCGCTTGTGGAATAGAACAGGCGATCACTAACCCTATACCAAAATGTCGAGGCGTTTTTGCCAATCTCCGCCACCTGTAGCACCGGCACGACGTCACTCTCCTCCTGAAGTACTGAGTTTACAATGCAGCCATCAGTTCAACCCCCATGTGCTGTTGCCGAACCCGGCCTAGCAGGTCAATAGATATAAACGTGGTCGGTACGTTCAACCATCGCTGCCTTCACCATCTAGCTCATGTCTGGTCGGAGCACCCCGTGGTCAATGATCGCATTCGTCGTCGGGTATTTGGTGGAGAAAGATCTTGTGAACCCTTCAGCCCCATTGTACCAATCACAAGGCTTTGATAGATGGGCCACGTATTGCGCATGCCAGCACACCGACTCCCGCGTCGTACGTTATTCGCGCAACCGAGGTGTGGATGACAGAAGAGGCGATGACTTGGTCAAGAGGAATTAAAACTGTCACTTCGAACTCAGCGGACGCGTTGCTGGTACCTTAGTTTTCGCATGCGAACGTGATGGCATCTGTCAGATACATTTTGTCCGCAGCTGCTCACGCTGCTCGTATTTAGGCACTTTCGAATTTATGCATAGCAACGGATGCTTACTCCATCATTACAACTCTGCACTATTACTACCTATGCTGTGAATTGGGTGGCAGTGGATTTTGTCGTTCATATCCGCAGTCCCGGTCCCCGCTGCTAAGCGGCGCATTGCTCCCATTAGTTTCCGCAGTATGTGGTTTCAGCTTAGACCAGCATTGAAATCACTAATGGCGATAGAAGTTCCCTTCTTCAACCCACGTTAAATTCTAAACGTTCCGAAGGTCCTAAGGATTTTCTAAATATAATCATTTCACTTTGTTGTCGGTGGCAACAGTATGCTACCTGTGACACCCGTGCAGTTCACGCAGGCCAAGTGTTTTGGCAACGACCGATAAAGCAGATGAGATTATTAGAGCAATTCTTTCAAGAAAAGCTCTATCAGAGTCTGCAAAACTCGACTGCACTGTGTCGCAACGAAGCGTAAGCTCGCGCGAGTTCAGTGGTTAACGCTCTTTGTCCATCTGTACACTTTTCAATTACTGCTATGCTCCGACTTCTCGTCAGGTTCACGTCGCAAAATGTTTACCTAAGGTGTGGCAAGACACTGCCGGGGTCCCATTGCTTCGTGGTTTCTGTGCCTTGTTCTATAGTTTATTTAACCATACCAGCTCCTACCTATCTTGTCCTTAAATGTATCATCTACTCAGAAACTCTCGTTACTACTATCTCTTCCATCCTCTTCATAATAGGTTTTGCTTTTCTACGTTTTAGATCCTAGTTTCAGCCACACTGACGCATGATCCAGGTCCCCTGAAACGGTTCAATCTTTACTTTCCGCACCTGTTGACATGCACGCCTCCTACGAATAAACTTAATGAGCCGGCGCCCCACATGGAAGTGGCGTCTTCCTCGTGCGTTGCACCAACTACTAATAGTGAACCCATAAGTACACCTGGAGCCCTGAGCTCCTCCTGCGAGAAAGACCTGGAACACGGAGTTGTATCAGGAGCCAGCAGAGGTATTGGGATTTTCATCACCCCAACCACTTTAAAAGTGGGTTTATTACCGCACTTTTACTCCTTCTTTACTTGGATTTTCAATGAAATTCGCATCCCGAATATAATCACGTCTGCCGTGTACAAAATGTTTTCTTTCGGCAACAGTTTGCTCCTGTATCATCCACACAAACTGTTGCTGGACTGTCAATTGGAGATTTGCGCCAGTATTGACCATTGCGGACGGAATTTAGCCTACCGGTTGAGCACTAGTTATCCACGTCGGTACTCACCTCTTGTGGTGGTTTCGTGTGGATTCAGCCGGGTTCGGTGTCCTTATAGCGGCACTTTGTGACTATGGTCACAGGATGGATGGACTAATGATTCCCTGTAGTAGCTTAATGTTGTGCAGTTTTTCGTTGTTTCAACGTGTTGTAAAATTTGTGTCCAGGGAATTTTTTGTTTATGGGGTGAAGTCAAAGGAATCTCCGGTTTATTGCCAAACACCCGTGTCTTATGTTCACGGAACACGTTACATACGTGTGCTGAGTGTTCCCACGGAGTGGCAGTTGCTAACGAGCACACCGTCACTTCCTCTCGGAATCTGTTGTTTGATGCTTACTTTATCACTGCCAACCTGATCACCAAGATATCACCGTAGCATCGCTGCACTCTTCTTTTCTTTATCGGTTGTAAGCATTCTCTGTGCTCGGAAACAGGAACAATTGCGGCGTTGGTTTCATTAATCCTGAACAAACCCCGATTCGTATTCACTCTTCGAGTGTCCATTGTCTGTGTCATATCGGCTAATAAGGAACGCATGCTTTCATTTCACACTCTCTTGGTGTTGTTAGTGGTCTGCTTCCTCGATACTCGCCCAAACCCCAGTAACTGTGGCACTGAAGTAACGCTAAACCGAGATTTCTAAACAACCAATTCCAGACGTAATGCCTTTTTATTGCGTTTGCTTTTACTGACAATTACTTGAAATGCGCCAGAGGTACGAAGTTTGTACTGGCTTAACGGCTACTTAAGCGTATGTGGTATTTATTAACGACTAAGATACCATTTGTATGTCTATGCCTATCAGTTTCTACAATCGCATGTCGATCACAATTTGTATAACAGCAGTAAACACTTCCACTACAATTCTCGAAGCGCGTCACTTTTCTCACCGTTTCCAATTAGATCATTTCATCATCATTTGCAGATGATAAGCATGGGCACAAAATTACCGGTTTACGTAGTTGTCGAGCACCGTAGTACACATCTGCTCAGAGTTTTCTTCCTTAATGTCAGCATTTTGCCAACTTCCTAGGTTGCTAATTTGCCACTTAAATTCAAGACCGGCGAAACATCCGACTGAAATGGTGTCCGCTACATAATGTAGACATTGTCCAACTAACTCGAGGCATCCCGACCGCGAATGGATCTCTACCGTTTCGGTGTACTTGATCTAGGCCGAACGTCGTTTCTCTCGGTCATTTAACTTCAGATATCTCATGGTCTTTTCACATGTATAGGAGTTGCGGGATTACTCGTTAGCATTGACTGATGGCACTGGCCACTGTAGTTGTTGTGAGAGCCGTTACCGCTTGGAACAGCCGAGTATTATCCCAAATCATCCAACTGTTTCTTTTGAGGAAGGCAACTTTTGCGTAGTATCCGAAGTGGCCGCGGTTCATTGCACGGTCACTCGCAAATCAGTCACTCGAAATCCAACCACTCAACTGGCACTTCAAACTAACGTGAGAAGTGATGCTCGCGACTCGATGGATTAGGTTTAGAAATATCAGTCGGTAAGCTTGCTCTGCGTCGAATTTTTAATCGCAATTTGCCATCAACTATGCTCTATTTCAGTCGTGCGAACATCTAATTTTTACCTGTCACTTTCTTTTTCATCGTCTGGCACTCCGTTCCAAATCCCAATTAATTACTAGAACTTAACTGACCGGTGTTATCGCAATGAAATCGTTCTCTACTGTCCATCTGCGTGACATTCCGGTTGGATAAGTTCCGTAAGCAAATCTACCTTATCTATAAGAACGACAAATATTGTTTGACTATTGAGTCTCGGAGTACTTGCCAAGTGTTTGGATTACGACTGACAAGCTCAGTTGTGGCCTATGTTGGCTTCGAAGACAACTCTTGCCATTTCGATCACTTGGATCGAAGTGGAGATAAGGTTGATGTCGCCGAACTTTGTGTCTTCGCTTTGACACAACATCGGCTTCTGTTGAATGACATGTCTGCTCGTTGTTCGGTTGATAACGGACACGTAAAGTGTCGGCGTTCTCGTGTGTAGTCTAACACGTCGTTCACATATAGATGAACGTTATCCGGATTTGCGTCACTGTTTGAAGTACTTTTTGATTATGAAATTTCCCAACATTAGGCCCCTAAAACCGGCCAAAGAGCATCCATAAACATTCCAACTTTTCTGCTCAGTCACTCGCTGGTGGAACCCCATTCAGTCGCTCAGGGAGTTTAACGTGGACTGTTAGCGACAATGTAGTGTTTCTGTTTGTACTCAGATCTGTTTTATTTTTGTGGGACCGTAGTATAGTTGGGATTGAACTTTCCACTAGCTTTCTACTTTGTTCAACAATGTAACAAAAAATAACATTTGTGATATATACGCATCGAAAGCGGATACTCGGCTGCTATTATCGTCAGATAAATAGGATGCACTCACTGGTCCCTTTTCTCAAACGCTCCATGACTTACCGCTCATCTGCTCTTTATACTCCTGAATTACTCGCTGCATCGATTTATCCAAGGCATTCGACTACGTGCTTTTGATTCATTGCCACGGAACTTGCGGTACTTTGTTTCGCTTTTCTTCCTTGAACTGTTGATCGACCACGTACTTGTTTTTATCTGTCGTGCCGCATTTGTTCCTTATAACTATACTATTTCTTCTATCCTGCAGGAATATGTGGTTAGCTTACCCTCAATTAATCGACCTCTGTTTCTACTGCACTTGATACACCACAAAAACGTGAAACGCCTGTTGTGTTTCGTAAACACACGAGCTGTCGCAGAGCGCTTAAGCATGCTTTTGGAAGAGTTTCCTGGACTCAGTGTTTGTCACTTGTCGGCTGGACTTCCGCCGGACAAACGTCAACGTATTTTGAAGCGATTTTGCCAAGGAGATATCAATGTACGTGCAGTTGTTTTGTGACCACCTTTGCTCCGCTCTATAGCATTAGCGTCTGCACCCCAGTTTGCCTGAAATATCGAAAAATTCTGGTTGGAATTTTCAGCCATCACTTGTCTCCATGAGGAGGATGACACACTTATTGTGGTCATTCTGCTTATCATGTGTTTGTGTAATCGGGCATAAGCACTATCTATCCGTACTCTCATCTCCCATAAGGCTAGTTGTGCCTACGTTTTAATATGTGCGACACTATACTCTGTTTCGTTACGATCACTTGTTTTCATCAGTCTTTCATTTTGAGGACGGTTGTGCTATATCCTCTAGCGTTGAATTTCCCCTCCATCCCCTCAGATCTTGGTATGCACAGACAGCATGTCTCGTGGCATGGACATTGCTGATGTCGAATGCGTAGTGTCGTATGATGTTCCGGAAAACGCGAAAACATATGTCCATCGCATCGGACGAACTGCACGTGGAGGTCGACCTGGTGCAGCTTACACTCTGCTGGAAAAGCGCCAGGTAGGCTTAATCCAATGCTTTTGTTAGCCTCACAAATTCCATCGCTTTTCTCTCTCCTCTCCTCATCTTCCCTTATCTACCGATCCGTTTGCATGATTTCGCGTCATTTTCCACCATACTCTGCAATTGAGATGCGTTGTTTGCTCACGATGCTCACTTTTAGTGAGTTACTTACCGATGGCTATTCCTCTTGGCCGTTTCCTTTCACCCCACCAAGTAATGATTTGCGACATTTTAATCGTTTTGAGCGCTTAGTTTCCCTTCATTGCTCTCTAGTTCGGACAGCTTGCATTATCACGTGCTCCAGTCACAGATGTCGTTTGCGCTATTATGATTGTACGTATGATAGTAGGAAACTAAGGGGGCCGAACAGAGTTACCCACCATTACAACGCCATCCACCGTATGCAGTATCTGCCCACTCATTTGTGAACGCTTTCCCTTAGGTTACTTTGCACTTTTGTTCGAAACCTTATCGAATGCTGCCTCTGTACTTCTTCCTAGCACACATCCATCTGTGGCTTCCAAGCATTCTTGTTGTGTTAAGACGTGTGCCTGGTCCGTTGTTGACCCATTACCTTCCGGTTCACTTAGTATTCCTCTATGACTCTCACTGGCGCAGTAGTTCCTACTCTTGCTTACCGCATGGGAGCCATCGTTGGCAGCCTCAGGCCTGTCATCACTTCTTGTCCAGATACCCGCTTCGGTTCATGAAATCGCTGTCATGAGGTAATTTACCAGTGAGTCCTATTTGTGATGCAGCCGTGCTCTATAATTCTTACTTAACGAGTCCAACACCACACACGCTTTCGGCACTGTATCGGAACGCTTGTAACTCTCCGATAATGGCGATTGATCGTTTACACTCGCGACTCGTGTTTTCATGCATACGAATTTGTCACTTGTCCCTGGCCAGCCTGTACGGAACGAAATAAAGCGTAGCAGATGGAGCGAAGAAATTTTACGCAAAAATCGCACAAAATTAAGTGTTTCACTCTGGATAAAAGTGTTGGTAGTTTGAGCGTACCTATTTTATTCAGTGCTAATTTCCGTTCCTCTTGTTACAAGAAGCCTAACCTCACTCCGACATTAATGATTCAGTCCTGGAATCTGACGGATCTGTCTCTTATCGTGTTGACCGCCTGCGTACCACCAGGAACAGTGATGTTCCGTTATCACCTACACCAACTCTTCATCGTGCTACGGCTTGCATCGTACCAGCTATTTAATCATGCAATGCAGACCTGAACTGCTATCATTCAAATTTGTTAGCTAGTATGCATACTCCCCTAGCTGTCCAGAGTCTAAAGTTTTATTCAACGATGGATTTGCGACTGCTGTTCTTGAATACCTGAAATTATCCTTGTTCATATTTGCTGGCGATTTTAGCAGGTTTTACACAGAATTTATTGCAAACCTCTGAATAAATAACATTTTGCAGTCTCCAAATCATCATCATCAATACACGTTAGCTGAGGATGGGAAACCCACCTCAGCTAATGTGCCGCAATACAAAGTGATTAAATACTAAAAAATACACTACAATGAATTCAAAAAGCAACTAATACAACGTTACATATTATATTATACATCTCGTATGAGATCGCAATTAGAGAGGGAATCTAAAGGGGGTGGACAAAGAAACACAACACAAACGCCATTGAGGCCGGCTTCGCCATATCAACAACTTTGTCTAACCAAATGTGTTCATCGTCCTTCGGTCCCCAGCCCAGCAGTAGAGATGCACTAACCAACGCTAATTTCCAAGTGATGGTTTTCATTCCTCTTGACTAAATCATCGCTTGGTCTCTCCTCCTCTTCCGTGCAGAAGCCGATCGCGTAAACAACTTACGAAGTGGGAGTCGGTGTGCTGACATTCACAACATGTGGCCCAGCCATCGGAGCCTGATGCATGAAATAACGGTGCTGAGCGATTCACTCGCTCTTCTTGCCCCAAATACACGACGCCGAAGATATTCATTGCACACGTGGTGCTCCAACCAGTCATGAGGTAAGCTGCGAAGTCAGCGGCTGTCGACCTGGTGGGCCATGTTTCACAATCGTGTAGGAGAATTGAATGTACGACTGCATCGTAAACTCTGCTCCATGGTGAGAGTTGTGTGACTTCGGAGCCACTGGTGGCGGATATTGGCAAAAGCGCCCCGTCCTTTTGCTGTACGGTTCGTGGTCTCCTCTTCTATCACACAAGGGCTGATACAACTGCCTAGATAGTCGGATGGCTGAACGACATCTAGCTAATCCCCAACAATGTTCCGCGCAGGAGTGGGTCCCTACCAATCTTGGAGAAGGACTTTGCACTTTGAGGGTGCAAAACAATGCCTGAAACGGCTGACGGACAGTGGTAATCTGTCCAGCGTGACTTGGCATCCTTGAGAGCTGTCACAGATTAGGGCAATATCAGCAGCTTGCTCCAAGTCAAGAACTCGCTCACTTGGAAGCACGTCCACACCTTCTAAGTTGCATATTCACCGGAGTCTATTAGCACCAGGCATCTCTACATGCGTCAAATCAAATTGCCAACCTTGGTATTGGGTGTCTACAGTCTCTGGAACTTCTGGGTTCTCGCCGAAGTATCCCGACTGGAAGCGAACACAATGAGACTCACAAAAATACTGGTGCAAAACTCAGACTGCAAAGGCCTTCTAGATTGGTAGGGACCGCGTACTGTTCTGACCCTTGTTGGGGATCAGCTAGACGTCACTCAGCAATTCGACTGTTTATGAAGTTGTATCATCGCTTGTGGAGTAGAAGAGGCGACCACGAACCGTATAGCAAAGGGCCGATGCGCTTTTGCCAATATCTGCTGTCTGTGGCTCCGACGTCACATCACTCTCGCCATGGAGAGCAGATTTTACCATGCAAGCGTCCATTCAACTCTCCTGCACGGTTGTGATACCTGGCCTACCAGGTCGGCAGACATAAAAATGCTGGCAACGTTCGTCCATCGCTACCTTTGCAGCTTAGCTCGTGTCTGGTTGGAGCACCGCATGAGCAATGGGCGTGTTCGGTGTCGTGTATTTGGTGCATAGAGAGCGAATCAAGCGCTCATCACCATTAAATCCCGCACCAGACTCTTATGGCTGGGACATGTGTGGCGCGTGCCAGCCCACTGACTACCTCGACGCATATTATTTGCGCCTGTGGTCGGGACGGAAGAGAAGGAGGGGAGGCGGGTGATGACTTGCTCGAGAGGATTTAAAACACGCTTTGAATTTGGCACCACTCGGTGTTTCCTGACTGCCGGGTTAGGGTCCAAAGGAGATTCGTCATCTTCGCTATTCATGTTAGCCAGAGGTTGAAACAAGTCGGCCATTGTGCCGCAATACATGAAAGAGCAAAAGAGAGGTAACACAGGCCCGCCCCCTGAGCCAGCAGTAACGGATTGACATCTTCCCGTTTAGCTCTTAGACGGCTGTTTTGCGGCAAACAACTTATCTTATGCTTCAGTAATGAGATCGTTTTTAGAGGAGGAGGCTAAGCAATAATGTAAGTTACCAAGAAAATTACGACACAAATGCCACTGAGGTCAACTCCTCTCAGTTTCAATAATTCTTTCTAACCAAAGATTTTCATTGTCTTTTGGGCCTCAACGAAGGAGCCCAGAGGCTCCAATCGAAGGCTGCTTTGAAGAACGATGAACTCGTCTGGTTGGATACACTTGTTGTTTTTCTTTGTCCCTCCCTCTCCCTCTAGTTTAACTTCCCCCTCCAACCAAGATCTCATCCCTTACATAATATAATAGCATTATGTTGCTTATACTTTGAGTTGATTTTGTATTCTATGGTGTTTTCCTACTCACTTTTTTCCTATGTCGTTTCACTTTATACTGCGCCACATTGGCTGTGTTTCTCACATTTAGCTAACGTATAATATTGACGATGGTGCCACTGGCTGCGCCGATCCATTGAGCGACGATACTAAGCAGCCACACCTGAAAGTTGCTATATGATTACTGGTTAAATGCACCTCTCTGACAAATTGCCGTCTCCTACCTTTACCTATTTAATTATACGCGAGGTAGTATGTACATTAGTCTGATTTTCAATCAGGATTGTGGGGCATTTCGTCCGAGGCTTAGCGATGGGCGGCGCGAAGGTACTGCCAGTTCGATTGCACTGTGTGCTTAAAGCGTTGTGAATTTTTCAAACTCAACAGTGTACAAAATATTCCAACCTTTCGATTTGCTTATATTTTTACCATCCGGAGACTGAAGCCTAACCTATGCTAACAACCTTCTCGTTGCCAGCCTGATGTCGTTCTGGCAAAGCGCAATTTCTGTCACTGGTAGCCATGACCTCGATCATTACAGGTGCCAATTAGTTACCCCTCTTGATCCTCTGTCACTGGTGTCCATTTCGTCCTACGACTGTGTCTAAGTAAGCGGTTGACTGGAAATACACAAAATAAACTGAATTCACTTAACCCCGCGAAATATTGTCTGTTCTTCCTATGTTGAAAAACATCTATTATCCGCTTACTTTGCCATCTTAGTGGAACTGGTGAGTTTTCATTACATTCCACTCCACATTTGAAATTCGGGTTTTCATTGCCGCCAAATGCCACTATCAGTGACATCATCAACGACCGTATTGCAGTTGTGCTCTCAACCCTGAAGCAAAAAACACCATTACTTATAGACCACAAGGCGAGAGCTGATGGGGCTTACTGGTCTCCCTGAACCCTTCAAGTAGACACTTGGTGCCTCAATGCCTGCACTTCGCGGAGGTTGCACGATTACAGACATCATCCAGATATTACCGCTTCTTTCACTGCTCCTCTTCATCATTGCCTTTATTTGGTTGAGAACTCAGAACCATTCGCAACTTAAACAAGCGTCCCGGCTGCTGGACGACAACAAGCTCCCACGGGTTCCGTTTGCATGCCATGTCCGTAAGGTCCTTAACTACAAGGTACTTTCCATCCGACATCAGAGCAGCTACTCATACCGGCTCGGAACGATTGTACTGCAACAATCAACTGTCGAAAGTGACTTGAATGTCCTCGTTC